ACACATAAATGACTATAAAACACAGCAAACAATCTTGCTGTGAATACGCATCAGCAAATTTTCTCTTCTAGGCACACATTCTTTACAAACCAGAGAATTTAGTCGTATTAACAAACAAAAAATCAATAAATTTGCTATAGTGTTGACTCCATCTGCTCTTACAGTTATTTCATCTACGCGGGTTACTATTATATAACAGATGTTGAATAATAAAGCAGAAAAATTATAGCTACCCGCATATTTAAGATGAAAGATGAACATTCTCTTCATATATATATATATATATATATATATATATAAGCTTCTTTTACATACCAAAACATAACAATAATTTAAACTATAAGTTGATAAAAAGCTTCCAATGCACACTGATTTATTCATACAATGATACTTCCAACCGAGCAAATGAATAATTGAAGAAAAAGTAACCAGCATACTCAAGGTCAATTGCTTCAAAATGCTCTTCAAGGTCACTGTCTAGGTCATTTACATCCATAAGATTCTCGGAGGGGGAAGCCGATTGGATTAGGGCTTGACAATTGTTCTCCGATTCATAGAAAATTCCCATTGTAGCATGTAGAAGAAAATCAAAACAAGTAGTGATTCCGCGAAGAGACGCTTTTCAACAACGAATTTATCATCAAGCTGAACAATCGTATATATATGGTTTTTTACAGAAATTATATCCGGTCAGGGAATTGAATTATAGGTGTGAATGCATAACATAATAATAATAATAATAATAATAATAATAGTATGACAGGCAGTTAAAACTAAAATGTTTGTGATTATAATCGTAGTTAAATGTCAAGTGACAAAGCAGATTAATGTCATATATAGAATAATTCATAGGATGGATAGAACTTGAAAAAGGGTGTGTGCAATTATAGGATTAGTAGACAAATCGAATAAAATTAAAACGTTGCTTAATATTGTGTGAAATTTGATAGCACAGAATTTAACGTTGTAAAATAGGAGAATTGATTTAGAATGACAAGTGGAACAAGTGAAATAATACCGGGGGACAGTTCAAAGTGAGACTAGTAATGATAACAACTGACGTAATAAAGGGAGAGTATACAAATCGTATAGACAAAATGAAAAAAATTGGTAGGGCCAAAGTATGATTAGGGATTATCATACTTTAGCATAGAGGGGTTAAGACCGTGAAAGTTGGAGGGGTAAAACGAACTTTTTCTGTACACAGAGCTCTGGCTTTTCCGTTTCGGTAGCCAAAGCTTCAGCAATACAGATGAGTCGGGTAGGTAATGATTTCGGTAAATTACTTTATGCGTAGTAGATGACTTTAAAGACGGAGGCTATAGAGATAGGGTGATCATTATCGACAAGATGTTCAATGATCGCGGTTCTTCATTTTATCTAATCAATTTGTATACTCACCATTTATTACGTCAATTGTTACTATTACTATTCTCACTTTGAACTGACCCCGGTATTATTTCACTCGTTCCACTTGTCATTCTAAATCAATTCTTCTATTTTACAACGTTAAATTCTGTGCTATTAAATTTCACACAGTATTAAGTAACGTTTTTGTTTTATTCGATTTGTCTACTAATCCTATAATTGCACACACTTTTTCAAGTTCTATCCATCCTATGAATTATTCTATATATGACATTAATCTGCTTTGTCACTTGACATTTAACTACGATTATAATCACAAACATTTTAGTTTTAATTGCATGTCATACTACTATTATTATTATTATTATTTCATGCATTCACACCTAAGATTCAATTCCCTCACCGGATATAACTTCTTAGAAACCCTATGAATACGATTGTACAGCTTGATGATAAAATCGTTGTTGAAAAGAGTCTCTTCGCTAAATCACCACTTGTTTTGATTTTCTAATCGTTTTTTACCCATATCCTGTTATTTCTGCTATTATTTTGTAGTTAATCTCAAAATTGATTATCCATATGTTTCACCCTCACCTGTCGAACATTTTCGATCCCTGTAGCTACGACTAAAGGATGAAATCTGTGCACTTTACTCCCCTTAAACTGTATCAACAAGTTGACCTGCATTTGTTGCGGTGACACCTATACAGGTAGAAGCAACAGAATGTTCCAATCTAGTCGTCGAAATGAACATGCTTCAAAGTGGTTATTATAAAACACAGAGAAAATTCCAATGCAATTCATCGGAATAGAAATCCAGCATCATCCATTGCAAAGTACTTATTAAATGTCAGGTCACAAAATCAATATTAGTGACTGTTTCACAGTCATTTCATCATATAACTCTAATTCAAGGTTGGTTATTGAAAGTGATGGAAGCACTATAGGGCATTAATCACATACATCCTAAACTATGCGTGTACAAAAAACAAGACACGTCAACCATCGCCTACTACTATGGGCAACTTGACCTATTCAGACATGATTGGTCATTAGCATAGTATCTCCATTAGTTTGATATAACTGAGTAATTTTCATGCATTTCATTTCATTATTATTGTGAACCAAGCATGACGATATCATCTCGCGAAGTTTGTCTTCGAAATGCCTTATTCAAATTTATCAAAGGGACTAATTGTTTTAAATAATAAGTGGTATCATATAAATAATTTCTAACTATTTCACACTTCAACTGGTGGATGGTGACTAGCAGTGGAATCGACCAGGATGCACATTTCACCCTATTTAGGACTCATCATCTTGATGTGCCTGCATTCCCCAGTGAGTGATGATGTTCCCACCGAGGCTCGGACCCAGTACTCATAGTTTTTATACGCCAAAGCGTTATCTTTTTTTCGATTTACAGCTTGATTCCAAACTGTATTATTGGTACAAGTATGGAATTTTCAGTATGGATATCGGTAGCCCAAATTTTGCAGGCCGACCATAGATATCAGGTGTGCGCCGGCGTAGGCTCGAACCCCGGACCATGTGCATGGTTGGCGAGAGTCCTAATCCACTAGACCACCTGGGTCATGAGAGCCACCTCTTGTGCAACGAGTCATGTTAATTGAAATGAATTTTAGATTTCCCCGTCGATTGATTAGTTCGAAGTGCTCGGCCTCAGGTTGACATGTCTGTTGGCTTCTTGTGTAAATGCTTCGATGATGTCTGGTCATTTGAATACAATTGAATCGGTTGATGGTGACTAGCAGTGAAATCCAGGAGGCGCATTTCGTCCTGAGATCGATCACTTCGGGCTAATCAATCGACGGGAAAGACTAAATGCCTTATTCAAATTTATCAAAACGGGACTAATTGTTTTAATATAACGATTATTTATGTATAAAGGAAGAGCTATTGCACACTTGATTGACAGAAACGAGAAGATAATATTCAGAGAAGATACTCTTTTCAAAGAATTATGTTACCAAGCTATACATTCGTATAAATATATATATATATACATGCATGTATATTTAAAAACGAGGTTGCTGCGAAGAAAATTTCTTCATCGATAAAGTCATCAACTATGCTGGTACATTCGTGTGAGATAGCTCCAGAACTCTACTTCCGATCAAGGGTCAAATGAGTAAAATTACAAAGTGTAATAACCAGGATGATCAGGTAGAAAAGGCGTAATAAGATCATAATTACTGACAAATTTGACAGGTTATAGAGTTATAGAATAAGGAAGTAGTAAAAACATAATGGGTAGGGAAGTTCGGATATATCTTTAAAAAACAACAAAGGAATATAACAATCCAGGTAGGAATTAAAAACATAAAAATAATTAGAATAAACAGAAAGGTTGGATAACAAATGGTAATAGGATAGTCATTATATTAGTGGGACTGACTTTTCATAATGGCCACGGTACGGACAACGGTTGGATGTTTCTTTTTTGAACACACAGCGTGGGCATGAGATTTTGAGATCACCAGTGCCTCAGCTATTCATCATAGATGCCTTGACCTCACTCCTTTTTGATAGGTTTTGTTACGATCTTGTAAATGATTTTTAAAGACTTTTTGAATGGAGCTAAATGTCCTGAATTCACCAGTTGTTCGGTTACCGAAGTGTATACACCCTTGAGTTCCCCTTTTGCTAGCTATGCTGGATAATGTACCCGAGAGAGTTTTTTAAATATATCTCCGAACTTCCTACCTATTTTTTTATTACTACTGTAACAGCAGAAGGTGACCCTTGATGGGAAGTAGAATTCTGGAACTTTCTCACCCTTTTAACTATAATAAATACATGAATGTACAGTCTAGCCGATGACTTCGTCGAAAAAAAAAATTTCTTCGCCGCAACCGTCTTTTTAATAATTCCTATTATTTTCTATGGTTGGTTTGTAAGGATTAGTTTTGTTTTGACGGGTAGATCACGGATTGATATCAGTTAGAGAACCATTGAAAACTAGCCACAGGGAGAACTGGACAGCTGTTTCGTCAGCCTAGTTTGGGAATTATCGACAGTACACACTCATCGCCATTGTTCGAATCCAGGACCTTCCAGTTACAAGACAAGCTCGCTCGTATATCATTCAGCCACTGGAACCGACTCTTCAATGACCAACCAATGAATTCTAACTTCTACAGATTCGTGATGCATTTAGCGTGACCACAAAACAATGTGCGTCGGTGGTACAGTGGTTAGGACTCTCCCCGACCATGCACATGGTCAGGAGTTCGAGCCCAAACCGACTCACATCTGATATCTATGGTCGGCCTGCAAAATTTGGGCTACCGATATCCATACTGAAAATTCCATACTTGTACCGAAAATACAGTGTGGAATCAAGCTGTAAATCAAAAAAATCAAAAAAAAAATCCTCACACTTGAATGGATGGACCTCACTGGTCACGATTTCTCACTAGAATTCCGGGAAACTCGGTCCTGTAGCCAGTCAGTCACTAGCGAGCATCAGATTAATTTTCTATAGTTTTGGTTTGTAAGGATTAGTTTTGTTTTGACGGGTAGATCACGGATTGAAATCAGTTAGAGAGTTATAAACGGTTCTCTAACTGATATCAATCCCTGATCAACTCGTAAAAAAACCGCTATTATCCAATATGTATTTCTCCGTGATAATTCAACCATGAACCAATGTTATAGACAAGTAATTGGCATCAGCTCGGAATCAAACCTACAGTTAATGAAATCCCTTTAAATTAACATTTAATTGTCCTGATATAAGGTCAGAAATGGCAAACACACACAGAGAGACAGAATTATCATGAATATTTGCTACCGGAAAAAATATTACATACATATCACAGTCATTATTTAAAAGCGTATTATATCATCCTAAGAATATCACCGTCCCCTTCAAAGACACAATTACGTAAAGTGTTTAAAAAGGAATAGAAATTATGAGCACTAAATAGGGTAAATATACAAAAAAAAGGAGAAATTTGTTAAATGTAAATTGTATGCGTAAGTTAAACATCCCATGAAAAACCAGGTTTATCATAAACGATTAGAGAACAACAACCTGATGGCCAATAACCATATTCAAATCGATATTGTACTTCAGGATTACTGATTAATTTTAACAGAGTGAGTAGAACAATAAGTAGTGTTCCGACAGCTAGCATAGCAGTTGAAAATTCTGTTGGACCACAACCATTTTTACGATAAGTCTAAATAAAGAAAAGAAAGTAATATTGCTGTTTTTTTCTTAAATAGACTTAGTATAAATATTAGCTTTCCTAGATATACACTGCTTAGTCAACGGACGGTCTGATGGATCAATAAAATGATCTATTTATAAAAAACCTACCTGGACGGGACAAAACAGGACAGGACAGTGTCATAATTATTACAGTTTCTGATCTGTTCGACACAAAAAAGCCTTAGTAAACGAGGTACCTTTTTGGTAGAAACCAGTGAACATGCACTGAAAACACACGTGAAGAGGAAGAAAAAAAGTTGACACAAACTCTGGTTGGTAACAGTTATCCAGACAAGTTCATCAGGAGATATAAAGTGGTCAGTGGAACACCAAGACCCACTCTCTCTCTAACTAGCCCCTAAGAAAAACGTTTACAACAAGCTATCCTATATGGAGCATCACAGCAGCTTGACGACTACACAAAGATTGAACACTGTTGTTAAAAAGACTTTTTACGCAGCTAGCATCATAATAATTGAGAATGTGAAGCCAATATATCTACCTAAGCCCTCTGAATATGCGAAAAAATGATATCACATCCCACTGTGTTTAGCAGTTTGAATGTATGTGTGGGCACACATACACAGGGAGGAAACATTGATTTCTGCAAGTAAGGGCTGGCTTCACAGCATATTCCTAAATGGCTCCAGAAACAAATAGAATCTTCAGAACTCATTAATGGTGAGAACAGGCGAACTAGCTCCTTTATTGTGAAACATATTACAGAGGAGGCAGGACATAAAATTGACGTATACACATCTTTTAAACTTATACATAAAACGTGTTTGGGGGATGGCATATCCTAAAGTGTGTAGAAGCCCTAATTGGCAATTAGGAGGTTGAAACCACCTTTATGCGATCAAAGCAATAATTCGTCATCACAATAAACCACGTTCCTTGGTAAACTTTGTTTTGATACCAGCCAGGGTAGATGTCCTATTACCTCTGTTATTTGGTTTAGTGATCTTCATTGTTATCTTGACCTTCGTTGTGTCCTTTTAGCTTCAGCCATTCTTCCTGTTCCCCAGTAGCTGAATGATCTACTAGCTTACCTTTTAACTGGAAAGTCCTGGGTTTGAATCCCAGTGGGAGTCTCAAATTAGGACAAAACAGTTGTCCAGTACCCCAGCTGGTTTTCCAATGTTTCTCTTTCTGATATCTACAGCTGATGATCAATCCTGTAACCAACCTAATCCCTGCAAGCCAACACTTTCTTTGCTATTTGAGTTATTCAACCATAAACGAATGAAGTATATTCTACACGGTCGAATCTTGATGATGAAAACCTGACAGTTAGAGTTGAATTGAACGCTTAATGTCTGTCTATGGATAGAAGTCAAGTGGCACAGTGGTTAGGACTCTCGCCGACCATGCACATGGTCCGGGGTTCGAGCCCACGCCGGCGCACACCTGATATCTATGGTCGGCCTGCAAAATTTGGGCTACCGATATCCATGCTGAAAATTCCACACTTGTACCAAAAATACAGTGTGGAATCAAGCTGTAAATCAAAAAAAAAAGTTCAGGGGGGTATGTATGAAGGTTTAGTAATCACTGTGATCAATTGATTATTCCATTGTAATTGCGGAAGATAAGACAAGTGGTAACGGACTATTTTTAGTAAGGAAAACCCCATCATATTTACACATTTTTAAATTTTTCACATTTCAAGTCAGTTAGGTCAGTAGATAATAAACGGTTCCCATTGGTAGGCGGTTGGCTCAAGGTTAAACCAATGGACGAAAAGGTGTCCAATGAGATTATTTCCGGATAACAATGTAAACTAAATCCAGATTTAAAGAAAAGACACTTCTACCCCTGCATGTATTGACTTCAAATGTTGGTTTCAAGTCTTGGCCACCTTCTATCAACTTGCGTCTCTATAGCACACGCCACACTATGATGGATATGATAGGAAAGATTTGTAGCTCAGGTGGATGATTTTGATGTTGATGTGTTCTCTGAGCTGGATAGTTTATTTGCGAAGCTTTCATCGTCCCACTTACTAGGCGACATCTTCAGCGCCTACTTCAATTTGAAGTGAGCTTTTAGACTGCTCCACGAGTTTATTAGTCATCTCTCCTGGTGACCACCTTGGAAGTGATTGGTTGTTTTTGTGTGTTTTCACACCTTCTGGGTTACTTGTATTGGAGCTGATTGTTTCTTTGATTTGAATTTTGACAAAGTCCAGCTGAGAGAACACAACCATGTCAAAACTATGATGGATTTACGTACAACATTATCAGAGCCACATAGTGTGCGTGTGTGTGTGTGTGTGTGTTTAAAAATTAGTAATACTGGCTGGCTGAACACAACTCAATCAGTTGTAGTGTTAATGATACGGACACAGTAAATCACAGTTGAGCTGCATGTAACGGTTACCTTATTAAATGTAATAAGCCATTTCTTATTACTTCTGATAATATACAGACTATGGAAAAGCACCTCTGATTGAACACTAATGCCATGCGTCTATCCTTTGGTGCTGATGCAGACTGAATTGTATCATTAAAACAATTAGTCCCTTTGATAAAATAAAGTTCATGACAACTACTCAGTTATATAAAAAACAAAAGTACATACTAATGACCAATCATTTTTAAATAGGTCATGTTGTCCATGGTAGGCGAAGATTAAAGTCTGTTGTTTTTTGTACACACAGTTTAGGCTGTATGTGATTAACCCCCCAAAGTGCTTCCATCACCTTCAATAACCTTGAATTAGTTATGTAATGAAAATAATTGTGAAACTGTCATGAATATTGATTTTGTGACTTGTCATTAATAAGTGTTTTGCAATGGATAATGCTGGATTTCTATTCAGAATAATCGCACTGGGAATTTCTATATGATTTAGTAACCATTCTGGAACATGTTCTTTTCGACCGCGACACTGGAACATTCTATTGGTTGTACCTATATAGGTGTTACCGCAGCTGCAGGTGAACTTGTAGATACAGTTTGATGTAGAGTTCACAGAATTTCATCCTTTAATCGTAGGTACAGGGATGGAAAATGTTCGGCATGTGAGAAAAAGAGATGCGGCGTAGAATGTGCGTTTGGTGACTGACCAAATTCTTTGAGCTAGCTGTCAACTGCATAATCTGGTCACCCTTGAATGGTAGGTTAATAAAGAAGGTGCCTTTTCGAGATGTGATCTTTCTTTACTGTGACAAGTGATAAAGCTCTCCGGATAACCATTAGCTAATAAAACTGAATGTACATGTCGAAGCTCATCCATCAGTGTGTCACTCGTGCATATTTTTCGGGCCCTGGAGAACAAAAATTTCACTAGGGAACGTTTATACTGGATAGGAACAAAACTGGTAAAATGAAAATATTGTCCAGTCCATGTTTGTTTACGAAAAATAGAGCGCTGAATCGTTCCATCATTTCTCCTAATCATAGTAATATCCAGGAAACCGAGTTTGTTATTCGATTCTAGTTCGGAAGTCACTCGAATATTTGGATGAATATGATTAAATAGAGTAATGAAGTTTTCAATAGATTTACTATTATTACCAATAATAAGAGTATCATCTACATAACGTTTATACAGCATAAATCCTCCAAGCATACCTTGCATTTGTTTCTCTAATTTCGACATAAATATATCTGCTAACAGGGGCCCCAGAGGGCTCCCCATCGCAACACCATCGATTTGTTTATATGCCTTTTCTTGGAATGTGAATCTAATATTTTCTGTACACATTAAGATTATGTCTTTGATGTAAGTGACGGGAATGGGTAAGTTTATACCGTTGCTTGTGATGTAATCGCAAATAAAATCAACAGTTTCATGAAGGGGAACATTGGTGAATAAAGATTCTATGTCAATTGAACACATAACCTTTTCCTTAATGTTCAAGGTGTCCAGCATTTCTGTAAGATCAAATGAACTTTTTACAGAATGATTTGATATTGAGTCTCTTACAGGCGTAAGGACCTCTGTAATCCATTTGGCGATTTTATGATAAGGAGAATTTGACATGTCTAAGATGGGTCTCAGTGGGTTCCCAGTTTTGTGGATCTTCGGAAGACCATAAAGCTGAGGAGTATGTGACCCAATTGGTTTAAGTTGTTTATAAAGTTTTTCATTTATAAAACCATGCATCAGTAAAATCTGAAGCTGACGATTGATCTGCTTTTCCACAAGCAGCACGTTATCAGTAGCATTGTCCAGCAGAAATTTGGACTGATCTTTGAGGATATCGTTCATTTTATTTTGATAATCCGATTTGTTCATAATGACAACGCTTTCTCCCTTATCAGGTTTAAGGATCACAAGATTATCTTTTTCGATTAATTCCTTAAGTGCGGCGTGGTGTTCTTTTGATAAACCATTTTTCTGGTGTATTCTAGCATTTAGAAATTGATGAGAAATGTCCACCAGTTTAACTTTAAACCAGTCCAGATTATCTCTACTAGAGGGAGTTAATGCATGACCTATCTTAGTGTGATTGGTCATTGATATGTACTTTTGTTTTTATTTAACTGAGTAATTGTCATGAACTTTATTTTATCATTGTGAACTATGTTAGTTGTAAAGCGGATGTAAAGAAACTGCGAAATGATATCATCTCGCGAAATTTGTCTTCTTAATGCCTTGAATTGTATCAGTCAAGTGTGTGATGTGACCAGCATGCTAGACAATTCTCTCTCACAATGCTGATAACTGCCAACAAACACAAAGCCTAGATCTAAGATTTCCTACGAATTGCCTCCAACCATCGAACAGTAAAATATTTTCCTTAAATTCTGCTTCATATTCTTCTATGGTTAATCGTCTTATCTATCAATTGTAATGTCTGAACTCTGAATATTACAGATTTTACGACAAAGGGGAAAACATGATATCTTCAGGCACCCAACCATGAGGAGAAATCCTCAACCATTGGTGAATCGATAACCTCGCCTAGTTTACTACTTTGTCATAAGCCCTGAAAAAGAGGGGATGTTTGACGTTGGAAATGCAACTGTAACCCAAAAAATCGATGTGGTCACCAAAAGAACTTCAAAGCATAAAAAATATAAAAACTAACTCATTCTCCCCCAGAACCGGAGAGACAAGATTATTCCGGGTGGTGAGAGCCTTCACGAAACCAGTAAGCTGAAGAAGATATGGACTTCACGAAAAATTCGAAGACTTACAGGTGAAAACCAACAAACTGGCAGAAGAAGAAGCAACGAAGATATGACTTCAAGTAGACATAGGCATGGTGGATTTGTTGATAACTAACCATCACTATCTAGGCAGCGTCCTCTCAACTACAGGCAACAGAACAGATGCGAATGTCAAAACCAGCCATTATAGGGAAGGCGAAACAGGCCATCATCACACTGAAATCAGTTTAGACCTCCTCTACACTCACCATAGAGAACAAAATTCGGATTTTCAACACCAATGTGAAGTCCGTCAGTTCTTTTATGTAAGTCTAAATCTTGGCGCGTCACAAAACGCATTTCCAACAAGCTTCAAATTTCTTACCAATAGCTGTCCTCCCTCCATACTAAAAGTCAGATAGCTGAGAGAATGGAGGTGGGTCGAAGACACGCTGAGAAGACTGTCGGGTGATATCGTGCACCAAAGTCTCAAGCTGAGCCTGAATGGGGAACGACTGAGCTGGGCGTCCGTCTGAGGGTGTCATGGAGGAGATTGTGCCAGGGGGAAATACAACTTTATGGTCAATTTTGAAAACAGTCAAAGAGGACTTCAGAGGACCAGACTAAACGGAGATGTGTTGCTGAAGCCCAATGTTCTACTCGGAACTCAGGGGAATAATAACAATGATACAGGTGGATGAGGTTCTTTAGATAACCACTTGGTATGCTAACATCTAATCAGTTAATAGGAATAGTTTCACAAGAAACCCAGTTAATGTATTCTCCATTGACCACATAGTGAGAATATAAATTTGTTGAAGTAATTAGCATTATCAATCACTGTGATTGATTAAACTGAAGAAAAACAATTACGAATTGAATGACAACCCTTCATATTCTTTGCAAAAGTTTAACCAACCACTGAGCAGGGTGGATACTAATTTGATCATGACATATTAGGAACACGCTTAAAGAGGCTGAGAATATTTCGTCCTAAGAGTTTCAGGTATCTGAATAGCTAGATGCTAATTAAAAGAACCTTTCTACAAGTTTTACTAATTTTAATTCAATTTATATAGATTTACTCTTTCGATTGATGAATTTTGCAAGTTTTCTATAATCAAATAGAGCTTTTGCTTGGGTTTCGGTGTATTGGAGATGTGAATATTATGGTTGTGAGACATGGCCATTCAAAGTGGAAGATATATATATAAGCGCTAGCTGTGTTTGACCAACAGAAGTTTGTGTTGTATCTCACGTGTTAAAAAGTATAATATATTGAGCAATACTCAGATAAAGCGTAGTTTCAGGTAAAGAGAGTAAACCGATCGATGCAATTGTGAAACTATATAGACTATGATAGCTGAGACATATGTTACGCATGCCAAGCCATCGCTCTTCCTCGTCTAGCCATATTGGCCGTCACCGGATTACAGTGAAAAGGGTTAGGAGTGATCAAACCAAAAACTTGGGATCAGTTCATGAAATCATTGGTAGTTAGTCTCAGGCAGCGACTTAGGTAGGTGTAGACTGCCTTACTGGGGTCTTTGGGATGATAAGAGCTAATGACCGGGAACTATTGGTGATATAGCTCAAAATCATTATCAGTGGCGTAGATGCATTCACTGTTTGTGATCCATTAGACCGTCATGGTTTTCTATGTTCCTCTCCTTCTACCTCACACTTATGCTTATAATTATTGTTGAATCTAATTTGTCATCCCTTTTGTCTACGTTTGTAAGCTATATGACAACTGGTAACTTGAGCTGTTCGCTTTCTGCGTAAACGTCTATGTTGAAACTTCAGTCAGTCAGTCAGTATTAATGGAAACCTACAGGATTTCGTCATGACCTGACATTAGTTAGAGAACCATTGGAAAACCTGCCAGGGAGTACTGGACAGCTGTTTCGTCCTAGTTTTGAACTCTTCAGCAGTATGCACCGACCTCCAGGTTTCGAACCCACAACCTTCCGGTTACAAGGCGAGCTCGTAGACCATTAAGCCACTAGGACCCGATCCAATGGTCAGCTTATGAATTCTAACTTCTGCCAATTCACGACATAGTGCGACCACTAGCCAATGTCTTCGGCGAGTATTTGTCATCACACCCAACCTACTGCACCCTACTGGTCAAGACTTCCCATTAGAACCCCAGGTAACTACCTACCTGAAAGGGCAAGTCGCTAGTGAACATCTCAGTGACATTCAAGTGTTGGTTTGTAGGGATTTGATTGGTTACAGGATTTCATCATGTGCTGACATTAGTTATACGAGCTCGCCTTGTAACTAGAAGGTCCTGGGTTCAAACCCTGGATGTCGATGCGTACTCCTGAAGAGTCCCAAACTAGGACTAAACAGCTGTCTAGTACTCCCTGGCAGGTTTTCCAATGATTGTCTAACTAATGTCAGCTCATGATGAAATCTCGTAATCAATCAAATGCCTACAAACCAACACTTGAATTAATGGAAATGTTTGAGAGTTTAGAGGAGATGAGAAATGAAAACTATATCACCATTATGATTGAGTTGAATCCACCCTACTAATGATCTTCACGTGAATACACTAACCAAAATAACGCAAACCCCAAGTATACAGTCAAAGGCTTGATAGACTGACTGGTACAGTGACTTAAACTTATCACCACAACTTTCTTCATTTAGTCATACTTCAGAAAACACTGTCGAATTCTTCTATTTTATTTTATTCCTTTGCGATCCAGGTGGAATCTAGGACTTCAAGCCTCTTGAAGTCTGAAGTTTCAGTAGCTGTGAAGTTGCTAACCTCACGCTCAACCTTCCCTCTCTACCGAACTTACTGTCGGTTAAGCAAGATTTGTAGGAGTGCGTCAGCAGGGAATTGAACCACGGGATGACGTGAGACGTGGTTGGTGAGTATTCTACCACCTGACCATAGTGGTTCATAGTGTTGCCGTCATTTTTGTCAAAGAGGCTTTAGAGTCTCAGTGATGGACTTACTTCTTTCACTACCTCAACATTTCAGCTAGAATTTCCTTTCATGGATGGAAAAGTATCACTCCATGATCAAAATAGAGACAATCAATTAACCGTTTAACGGACAATTGACCAAATGCGCATCGGCGGTACAGCAGTTAGGACTCTTGCCGACTAAATACATGGTCCGGGGTTCGATCCCCTGCCAACATACACCTGATATTAGTGATCGGCCTACAAAATTTGGGCTACCAGTATCACACGCTGAAAATTCCATACTTGTACAAAAAATACGGTGTGGAGTCAAGCTATAATCAAAATTTTTTAAAAATGTATGTACATTTATATATACCTCAAACTTACTTTACAAATATTCAAACTCTTACACACTTGAGAATCAACAGGAGTACATACACCAGGATGAGTAATATTTATTGTTCTTTCAGGTACATCGCCAATTTTCCATTGACATTTAGGATCTCCTAACTCTTGACCATTAGTAAATCCATCACCATCACTATCTAACTGACATATCATATCCCATGACTTTTACATAATATAGAACAACAAGACAGCGGAAATAAATTAAAAGAAATACAAACAAAGGAGTGGTTTTGTTTTTACGAGTTGATCATGGACTGATATCAGATAGATAACCATTGAAAACTAGCCACAGAGAGTACTGGACAGCCGTTTTATGCTTGTTTGGAAATCATTGGCGGTACACACCCACGGGGTTCGAATCCAGGACCTTCGGGTTACAAGGCAAGCTGACACGTATACCATTCAGCCACTGGCACCTGACTCCTCAATGGCAAACCCATGAATTCTAACTTCTTTTGAGCTAAATTACGAATTGATAGAAGTTAGAATGATATATGGACCTGCCTTGTAACCGGAATAATCCGGATTCGAACCTCAGTGGATGCCTACCGCCAATGATTCCCAAGTGGCTAGTTTTCAGTGGTACTTTAACTGATATCAATCCGTGATCAACTCGTAAAAAATAGAAAAGGAGATCAAATTCTCAATTTTCTGGTTAAATTGCAATTTACACAGTTGGAGGAGATGAAATTTCACCAAAGTTTCTTCTGGAAATCAAGATTATTCAGATCTCACAATAAATGGTCTGCATGATACTCTAATTGGTAATCAAGAGACCCAGAGCAAATTTATAAAACTAACTAGGAATCTGATTTGTGGATGGCTTATTTTTTCCTATTTTGGGACTCGTCAGCTGGATGTACCTGCATTTCCCAGTGAGCGATGATATTCCCACGGAGACTCGAACCCAGAGCTAGTAGTCCCAGACACCAAAGTGTTAGACACTAGACCACTTGAGCCACGAGAGTGACTTTTTGTGCCCTAGGTTCGAGCCTCAGCGGGAACACTGGGAAATGCAGGTAAATTCAGACGACCAGTCCCAAATAGGACGAAATTCGCATCCTGGACTCCAATGCTAGTTACCATCCACAAATTAAATTCTAATTAAATTCCCAGACATCGTCGAAGCATCTGCACAAGAAGCCGACATGTCAACCTGATACCGAACACTTCAGTTCAACCAATCGATGGAAAAATCTAAAATTCAACTAACTAGGAATCGTTTGGTCTGAAATGATTCAGCCTTTCTCACACGAGTTAAACTGGATACATCACTGATGGCCTCGGTCCCTAACAAGCGGAACAGTCATCTTACGATGTCTGGATCATTTCAGTCTGGTTGGCAAGTACCGCTGGTTAATATGACTTGTCTACAACTAAACTTCTTAATCATTCAGTAGTGTACACATCTATACATTTAAAAAGTAGGTTTATTAAGAAAAGTATATCGATGTAAATACTTAGCCATAGTGTAAATAGGACAACTTCTAATATTATGAGTTCGATGAAGTTTGTTTCATGCTATTAGGATAAGGAAAACTAACTTAATCACACTCAGTGATTACAAGAAAAATGTGGCGCTTAATATGTGATCACAATAGATGCTTGCGCACACACTCACACACAAAATAGTCAGACTACTTTGATTAGACACCAGGTAGTAATTAATGTCATATTTCTGATTCCCCGTTTGGTGTAGACCGGGTTACATCAGTCAAGTTTCCAAGGTAACCACCACGATAGTTGCCTAGTCATCATGGTGCACTCAGAATTGTTGTTATTAGATGCTTGTAGGCTTAGACTTAGTTTTCGTGCTTGTTGGGTGGCACTCACCAGCTAACAAGGCGTATGTACTATCTTGAAGAAACTCAAGTCCCTCCTGAATCTCGAACTGGGGTCATCCACTGAGACACAGTCAGAGACTTTACGACTGAACCATCTGGGCTCCTGACTGACCTCCTGAAGTAACTAACTGATGAAAGTCAGTCTGCAGCAACATCATGGACTAGACGCATGGCAATAGTTACCGTCTAGTGTCCAATCAAAGTATCCATTACGGCCCTACAGGAAATTAATCGTAAGACCAAATGCCTGAGCAGTAACGTCACTGATTGCAGCGCCGAGTGACCCAGGTTCAAACCTCAGAGAAAAAAGTTAGTTACCTCGAAACTGCAGATACGCCTTGCTGACTGGTGAGTGCCAGAGAACACCATTTAACAACAGTTCCTAGTTCAAATAACTGCAGTTCATATGAGGAATAAGTTAATGTTAATTAAACCATAAACATGAGCAGCATTCAATCGTTAGTATCACTAGAAATACATTTAACCACAAAATGACAATATTCAGAAAGTAGAGCTAATATAAGGTTTAACTTTTTTTAAATGGAAAATGAAGTGTCTCCTACATTCAACTAATATTTCTGCTTATTTAAAGTCAGACATGTAGAACTGAACATTTCGGTCTAACCAGTTGACAGCAAAATAAATAATAACTGATGCCTGTTGCCAAAGAGATGGCTCTATTGGCTCAAAAAGCCGTGTGGATATCGCTTTGGTGTTTGAAACATAGTGCACTGGGTTCCAGTCACACCAGGAACACCACCACCACCCTATGGGAATGCAGGTACATCCAGCTGACAAGTCCACAACAGAACGTATGCACATCCTCAATTCCACCGCTAATCACCAGCCGCCAAAATTATTTCAAATTAATCCCCAAACATCATCAAAGCGTCCATACTAGAAGCCAACATGTTAGCCAACACAGGCTGAATATTTCAATCCAATCAATCAATAAAAAGATCAAAAGTAAAACTGAGAACAAATGATGCTATATCGAACTAATAATAACAAAATATAGTGAAATGCATTCACTACAGTTAATAAAATTGATTAAAACTTAACTCGTTTCGCCTCAAAATCTGAACCAAATGGATTGAGAGGTCCACCACCTTCACAATTGAAATGACCAATTGACTTTACATATTTATTTGGATCGCATGGATCAATAACATTTTCACTATTAGGTATCTTTAATTTGTGCTCAGGTACTGAATAAACGCCAGCAAATGTTGACAACAAAATACACATAACACTAAACATAATGATGATGCAATCAACAAGTAGACAGCATAAAATTAGCTGATTCTAGTTTCTCCCGCTTCAATACGTCAATAAACTACGGAAGATAAGAAAGAAGCATTGAGTGAATTTCAGCACGATATACAATAATGTGTAACTATAATATTATCCGCAACAAGTCAAAATCAAGTAACATTGAGACGAATATTTCTGGTTGCTATCTCCGAAATCCTTACATTTTGAAAAATATGAAAGCTAACAGTGCAAAAAATGAAAATAGAGTCATGAGGCACCTCACAATTCAACAAACTACGCCATAATATCAAACATAACCTAAACTGGAGAATATCCCTACAACAGTAGCTGTATGATGAAGAAACTCTTTTCTAACAACTCATGATGAAGCAAACTATTTTGAAAATTCAAGTACTAAGAAGATCTTGAAACCTTTTAGAAAAACGTTACCACAATGTGACTTTAAAATTACTAGACTTTACAAACAATTTTGAGTGCTAAATGGTCGAAACGGCTTCTAGTAAAGTTCACATGAATTCCGTATAACTTCGATGCTTTCGAAATCTTTCTAGACAAAATCACCAGTACTAAATTTAAAATGAAGTTCGGCAGATGTGTCTGAGCCTTCACAGTGAACAGTAATAAGAGTGATAGATATTAAGAAACCATGTAAAAATCCCTCTTTGAAATTGTTTGATGTATACTGACGATAAATGGAAACACAGTACCTTTTAAAACAGTTTAAAACAACAATTCTGGCACTCATCATGATCAAACCTTTACAAAAATGTATCTCAGCCTCCAGTGGCACTGATAGTAACACAAAGTCACGTCAAAGAACACTGATGGCAGTATCATTCTCCAAGAAGCCAACTACAACTCCAGAATAGATCAGTTTTGTGCTCCAGACTTGTTGTCAGCTTATATACCATAACCCACAAGTCGTCGTGTACTTTCTTTAAATCTCAGCATTGTAGTATATAAAACCCTCCTTTCAAAAAAATCCCTATGCATGTTTCCAATCCCCTTCTTTTGTGGCTGACAAATTATTTGAAGGAAAACGTTTCATGTGCAGTCTTGTTTACTTAACGTGGATAGTCTTCTTCCAAAGTGTCACAATGAGTCACTTTCGGACAATTGATATTCATATGATTCGTTGACGATTTATCAAACAAATTAAGCTATCCAATTTTCCACACCGCTCAACTCTGAACTTCATGAGTGACCTAGTATTGATGTCTATCCTGGCAACCCTGGTCACCGGCTAATGTCAGTCTAACAATCATCTCACAAGAATTTCTTTCGTCAGGACTTCAAAAGAGTCCCTCACCACAGTTCTCATTCCTAGTATTGTCGGTGCGTCGGTGGCACAGTGGTTAGGACTCTCGCCGACCATGCACATGGTCCGGGGTTCGAGCCCAAACCGACGCACACCTGATATCTATGGTCGGCCTGTGAAATTCGGGCTACCGATATTCATGCTGAAAATTCCATACTTGTACCAAAAATACAGTGTGGAATCAAGCTGTAATCAAAAATAAAAAATAAATAAAATAGATAGATTAGATAGTAACTGAAGCACTATAAAGTAGTTATAGAGGACGGTTGAACGATAATGCTGAAAAAACAGGTAGTGAAAACGCAACTTGATGGTTGATAAGATTAAGGGTTAGGACTGCCTCCATATATATCTTCTTGTCATTTGTCTTTTCACTAACGACTACAATCTGTACATTACAGCTTATCACTCATTACCTGATTATCTGAATTACTCCTCAGAATTGATGACGACTTAGGCATTCTTCTGAGACGATTTTATGGTTTAAATTCTGGATCCATTTAAACCACTATTTACTCCTTTTGTTATCTCACCAGAAATCAGCTGACAGTTTTACTAAATCAGTAATTCCAGTGAGCCGTACTACAATGACATATGTGAAATCCTAAAATTGACCTTCCAAGAATTAAAAATAAACTGCAGCAAGTTCACTGGTTTTCACCAGATTACTGAAACAAGGAAAAGAACAATGAGTAAAGTGATGACAAATCTTAGGTTCTATGCAGCACCTACACAGCAACACTCAATCAATTGTGATTTGTTAATAGCATAATAGACATCATTACACAAAGAAGACTGCTTTTTCAGCCCATAATCACAAAAAACCAGCAATCAAGGATCCTAAATAAATAACTAATTACAAATTTATACGCCTTCAAAAAGTTCCAAGATTAACAGTCAAAGGCCACGCCCAATGAAGACACTAAAAACTGCTTCATTGATTAATTAATAAAAAGATTCGTTGAAAGCATTAGGCGACAGTATGCCATCAGGCTGTTTATATAAAATATATATATGCAGCTTACAACCTGCATATACATAGATTTAAGGACACTGAGAAACATGAAGCAGTCTACCTAATACATTAACTTAACACTCCACAGGTACGTTAGCTGATAGATGCCCATGACTAGTAGATATGATCAATAGTCTTACCTTTGCCACCGTCTTTGAAACGGAAACTCAGCCGCAGCCTTGAGAAAAATCAAATAATACACAACCACTTTCTAATACCTGACACCACGTTCAATGTACAAGTACTGTCATAAGTGACTGCAGACAACTTATGGTTTCACACTTCAGGCTTGTATGAATCTCTGCGATCTGTTTTACAGTAAAAGTTGATTCTAACCAAGAACAAAGAAAAGTTCAATATCTTTTTAAAATTCTCATATATGGCTTCGTAAAGAGTCCGGGAATATGAAATCCTAGCTGCCTATGCACGAAATACTCTGCTTTTTTATCTTTGTCCACTTCTCTTGCATAGTAAGCACTTATTTCCAGTCTGTGTGTCAGCAGTAAGCATTGGTCACACTGTTTCAGCATAAGAAAAATGAGTTCCACATGCGCAGTTTTTCAACATGGGGGAACATAGTTCGACATTTGTTCAGAACTAGGTTAATCCGATTTCTGTTACCCGTCTTTCCAAGTCTTCCGAACATTCCAGTGGCTTCCTTGTGTCTTCGATTTTTTTTGAAGCTCATGTCAACTTTACATCATATCAGTATAGAAAAGATGATTAGCTGAAGTTGCTATGGAGGTCATTTCGAAGGCCAGTGGTGAAGGCTGTCGCCACGTAGAATATTCTTGGTTAGCTTTCATGAAAAATCCTCTGCCTCCCACGTTGGCTTCAGTCAATGCTAGCAGCCGACTGTCAGTTCCTATTTCCGATACTTTCTACAGTGAGATCTCGTGGGATACCGCGTCGAATCCCTTGGAGATGTTTAGGCATGGAATGGGGACCGAAAAATTATGATCCTTGCATGCTGTTCAGTTTTCCATAACAAAACTACAATATCCTGGATCCTTTTTGGCCTTTTTGTCGTGATTTTTTCTAATCTGGTAACCATCGCATCTGATATCGTTGGCAGTAGGGTCATTGATCTCTTCATTTTAAAGAGACCTGATAGGATCACCCTCATCCACTCTCCAGGTAATTGACGTCTGTCTAATGAGTGCTATCACAGCTTGCTTGTTGTAACACGCAAAGCTTCACCACAATGCCAGGAAACCACTGGGTTATTACCATCACATCCTGGGGATTCACTGTGCGTCGGTGGCACGGTGGTTAGGACACTCGCTGACCATGCACAAGGTCCACAGTTCGATCCCCTGCCGACCCACATGTGATATCTATGGTCGGCCTGCGAACTTCGGGATACAGATATCACCTGCTCAAAATTTCATACTTGTACCAAAAATTACGGTATGGAATCAAGCTGTAATCAAAAATCAAATCAAAATCATTCGAAACTTCCTTAGCTTTTCCAGAAACATCCTCAGAGTTGTTCACCACTAAAATTTTCAAGGTAATCATCTGCACAGTTCCTGTCAGCCACGTCTCGCAAACCGTTAGTGCCCAGCTCTTGCTGCACTCGAGCTCACGCTGTTCCTTGAAGTTTCTCAGAAACGCTTAGTAATACGGACGCAAAAACCAAAACACCAATTGGCGACTCGAGGATTCTTTATTGTAACACCAACATATAAAAAATATTACGACTAAGGTTTCTGACGGTTTTTAGCTGACTTCTTTCTGAACAGCGACCGATGAGATGATGACTTCCGTATTGATGCCTCCGCGAAAATTGGGGAAGTTGGTTTTGAGCAAACAACCATGATTTGATCGTTCAATCTTCAACTACATTGACAGTTCCTCTTAGTATTCTTGTGGTTCAGACCTCTTCGGAGTGCATCACGGGAGGCTTCAAAATTCTGTGAGTTACTCCGGAGTTTGAACTTGTGATCTCGCAGTACACACCCCTGGTTTAGTGCTTTCCTTAAAGGCTAAGAATCTTTGCAGATTCGTGGAGTTGCACTGCCATTTCTGGATTAAGTTTGCCTGCAATGTTTTTTATCTTTCAAAACTTAGTTTTACATTGATTTCTCGTGGTAATAATGTGTGGTTTGACTCCTTCTCTAGGAGTACACATACCATTCTGTTTCGTTCTGTGACAGACGCTCCGCGCCTTCTGTTATCCAGTCAGTTCTCTTTTGAGAAGTTATCATCATTGTAGGAGCGAAATAGCCAATGGCTTTCGTGATAATCCTTTTCATTCACTCCTGCTGCTCGTGCATTGTTGGCAAACTACAGATTTGTAGCCAAGGCGCCGCATCCGGGGGCTGTTTCATCAGTCCAAAGCTAGCTTTCCCATAACTGATGTCGGTAATGGAGTTACTTTCTGTTAACTATTCATAGATGGACTAGTAGGATAACACGCTTCGTGGTCGCTGATATCTATCTGTAGGGCTCACTGTATTGTATTGAGAAGTTAATCTAGCCAGGACGGTTTGCCTTTCACCTAAAGCGTGTATCATTCTTCATGGATTTATAGCGTTCATGCGTCGCGATAACATTCAGAAGCTTTCTTTTGAAGACACCACAACAGGTGTAACTGGTGCCAGCACTGGCGACTGAAGTCACCAGATATAATTTTCTGATCATGTCAGATGATTAGGGTTGTGAGTATTACTTCGATTATTTTTTAATTGTGTTGTGTCGAACATCTCTGATCAGGAACATAGTACTATTTACAGTCAAGTGACACAAGACAAACTCTGGGAGTTCTTCCAGCCTTTAGTTAGTGACTAAGAAGAATTGAAATGTACTTGTGACATCACTACCCCAGTGTTATCCGTCCTTTGTCTGTCCTTTCTGTGAGTCATCATGCTATCTACGGTCATTTCGCAGTTTTCAGCACTGTGTTATAGCCAAGTTTCTGTCAGAATCGAGAATAATAACGTGAATCTCGAGGACATAGTGTTCACTTCAGCTGTCCTGGTCCTGAGACGTCTCACACTGGTGTAAAGACGTTTGTCGGTCTCCCTTGCAGAGAGGTTATTCTGTTTAGTGGTTGTAAATGGCATCTGGTCTTGTTCAGTATCGTGTTTTCTAGATCGACCAGTTTCTGACAAACAGCCTCTCTACTTTTATGAGAACATTTGGTTTTCATTAGGACAAACTTTCTATCACTTTGCAGTCACTCATGGTGATGACCGTAACTATACTTTTCTCTCTTTTTGCTATATAGCTTTAGACCTGCTGACACTGCGTTGAATCCCGCCTCTTATCTTTCGTCAAACTATATGACATGTCCATCACCTGCAACCTGCCCCAAAACGCAGCCAACAGCTCGCACAGAACTGGCTGCCAGCAGACACCGATTCTCAAACGAAAGCAGAAATCCTAAATCCAGTCAAGCTGCTAAACTCCAGTTGGGAAGACAGCAGGATCAGGTGGAATTTCGAGACAGTGAGAATGGAACCAGAGGCTTCAGTCGATAGTCTGACGTCCCTATCGAGTCTGGAAAGGGAGGAAAAGCAACTATTGATTTGGAGAAAGGCTACCTTTTTAAACTACCAAACAAGAACGACTTAGGCCTTTGTTTGAAATTATAATCTTTTCCATACACAGTAAGATCCAAATCGCATCGTCCTGGAGGAAATAAAAGCTGCACTGGATGCAAACCCTCCCACTGGAACAAGCTGGATTCAGCAAAGAATAATCGTGTGCAGATGAGGTCACATCTCTGCACATCATAATGGAAGAACGCATTCAATGGTAGCCAAATCTCTTCCTCGACTTCATTCGCTTTGGACATATCTTTGATAGCGCTGACCGCGAAGTGATTTGGAAACTGCTTCAACACTGAGGAGTGCAGTGCCTAAGTCTATATCAACCTCATTCAACATCTCCGTGACAGTACCACGTATCAGTGATCCACAACTAAAAGAACTTAGCGAAGCTTGCCTTTGAAGTAAATACATGTGAAAGATTAGGCAGCTTATTATCACCGATGATATTCCTAATTGTGGTGAACTGAATCAAGAGACAGGCTGAAGGTGGTGAGAAGACAGGAACACATCAAGCCAATGAGAATATTCTAGAAGAGCTGGATTTCGTGGATGATTTATGTTTAATGTCATATAAACTTGAAGAATTACACACAAAAACCAAAAAAGTGGTAGGGGAAGCGGTGGAGGCAGGAATTCAAGTGGACACACAGAAGACAGAGCTGACGACACTACTCGACAGCCAACAAACGCCAGCGTAGGGAATTTGGGACAGGTCGCTCCCTTCATTAGTCTTATCAGCATCCCTTCAGCTGCAGACGGTACGAGCGAGGATATCAAAATCAGAATCGGAAAGGCAAGTGAGTTTGTGAATCTTAGGTAACCAACATAAGAACAAGATTCGAACTTCCAACACAAACATTATGTGAGTTCTTCTATACGGGTCAGAAACTTGTACTGCGTTTCACAAAAAGGATTTCTAACGGCTTGCAGACCTTTAATAGCAGCTGTCTTGGTTTGATACTGAAGATTAAATGACCAGCCGGACCTAATTAGCAACAAGAAACTCTGGAGGTGAACCGAATAAGAATCTACCGCTTAACAAATACGGTGAAAAAATGGAGATGGACCTGGAGGTGAACCCGAGTAGCAAACGAAGGATGGGATGTTCGAATATTACATGAGAAGATCTAGAGGGGGAGGTTATGACCTATAGACAAATGTGGGGCCTTCTGAAGAGGACTGCCGAAACTCTGTTCCACTTGGAACTCGGGTGAATATTAGTATTAATCTGGTAGGTGGTTTCTACATGTGACAGCAGGGAAAATAAAAATACAGACTGATCATGAATGTCATCCCAACATCTCGAGCGACTTTATTGCATATCCCCTCAATGACGCTTGTTGCTATGTTGCTATTGGTTTCAAGTGACCTTGGTTTTGGAAGAAGATTTAACTGATGTAATATTGCGATTTCATAGACATAACTCAGGCTCATAGATGAAAGAAAGTTATAATCCTGGAATAAGAACAAGTTGTTCATAAGGCAAGGAGGACATTATTTTTCAGTTTATTTGTATATATACTATCGTGCATTGAGTTGTACTGAGTTCTTAGTGCAACTGTATGTAACTTCATTTACATAAAGTAAAACATTACGAATACTCCTGTTTTTAGAATAAAAAACGTGATTATTTCCATTAATTTTAGCACTGAAGA